CCGCTCTTGGCGTCGTCGTGAGTGTGCAGCAATGAATTTAGATTCCTCCATCAATCCCGGTACACATTGGGTAGCTTATAAAAAACATGGAGATATTGTCCATTATTTCGATTTGTATGGCTGTTTGAAACCACCAAAGGAATTGGCCGAATATTTCGGAAACAACGTGCAGATATTCTATAATAATGATGCCTATCAGAAATACAATCAAATCAATTGTGGTCATTTATGTTTCACATTTTTATTGAATTCGAAAATGAAATGATGATAGTAAAAGGCCCCCGACTATTTAAATTATGCATACCTCTACACTCTCTCATCAATCATGTCTTTGATATTGACATTGAAGAGTCGTTCTTCGACGCTCTCTATTGATTTTTCCCCTCCGATTCCATTAGATCTCGATTCTGAATATGGCTTAGCTCTACTCAGTTTCCATTCGTACAACAGCGTACCCAACATTGAGGAAGGTACAAAGTTCTATTATTTCAAAAACGGTGAGAAAAAACGAAGAAAAAGTATTGATAATCCTACTGGAGCTTACGAAATTGAAGATATTGAAAAGCTGATCAGAAAACATCTTGTACCACCACCTTCTTCGAAAAATATAACGTCATTACGACCATCGGAGAAACCCGAAGACCTTTTTTTATCTCAAACCGAATAATAATACTTTAAAGAGCGAAATTTTCTGTAAACAACATGTGATTGATTTCACTCAGAATAGTTTGGCAAAAATATTGGGATTTTCGTCTAGAACCTTGGAAAATGGCATTCATCATGTGTCAGATCAGCCTGTGAATATTATAAAAGTTCGAACGATACATGTCGATAGCAACATTACCTCAGGAGCATACAACGACAGACCGTCTCACACGATATCGACGAAACACCGAATCACCTTATTTATTTACCCATCGCCACCCATACAAACGAAATCTACAACATCACGCTCAAAGTGCTCGATCAAAACTTTCAACTGGTAAATTTCCGCAACGAAGAAGTCATCATTCGATTGGAACTGAAAAAATTATGGTCCTAAGTGTTTATGAGAGTCGCACCCCTGTGTCTGCTCCTTCAGTCTTCAAGAAGACATTCATCAGCCGCCACACTCGTCCACTCAGTCTGCAGAATATTAAATTCCTCAGGTCACTCGGCTATCATGTTATCCTCTCAAGTGTTCAACATATTCCGAAAGCCTCACATCGACGAATCCATACAAAAGGTCGAATGGAGAACATACTACCCTTACGTCAAGTCCTTTTGCAATAACGATGTCATAGAAATCAACATTAATCAGTCTGATGCTTTTGATGCCCTCTATGAAAGTATTTTGCACATTAGCGGAAAAGTTACGAGAACTGAAGGTGTTGGTAAAGTATCTTTCGTCAATAATGCTGGTGCCTATATGATTCAATCCATCAGCAATGATCAAAATGGTAAGGAATTGGAATCAGTACGTGATGTTGGTACATGTTAGCACTGTCAGAGGCTACTTGTGTTACAGTGCCGAAGATACAAAACATTTGACTATAGCAGAGGTTGGACCTATCCCAATAACGTTGATGTCATCAATGCAGCAACTTTAGCATTCAGTATGTTCATTCCATTGAAGAATCTGTTGAATATTTTCAACGATTATGAGTGTGTCTCCTACGGTAAACATTTCATTCGTTTGGTGCGAGCTGGTAACGATAATAACTGCTTCAAAATCACCGAAACTGCTGTCGGCGCAGCTGTTGTACCCACAAAAGTACAATTGGAAATCGAAAACGTGGAAGTCAAAGTGGAAAGACTATTTCCAAACGATCAGATTAAATTGCAACTTTTGAAGGCAATCAAAGCTGACACTCCCATCCTGATACCCTTCAGAAAATAAGAATTAGGTATGTTGTCTTCTCTCACGACAGGCGCCACCAATGAAATATGGGCCGTCAAAACTTCTTCGTTTCTCGAAAGCCCTCGCTATGTCATCGTTTGCTTTCAAACGGATCACGATCTGACTAAAGTTAATACTGATCCTACAATTTTCAATCATGCCAACATAACGAATATCACATTAACTCTCAACAGGGAAAGTTATCCAAAGGAGAAGATGCAATTGGCCTTCGATAAAGGAGCTATTCCACAGGAGTACTTCAACTATACACAATTCGGATACAGCTATAAAAACACCTCCCTACACACTCCGCTCGTGGGTTACCCCGAATTCGCCAATAAACAGCCTCTTTATCGTTATCGATTGTTCGCGGCGAGACGAAAGTGTCAAAAGTTTCACTGTCGATGTCAAACTTGAAATCGAAGCATCCCAAGGATTTCCCGCCAACACTCGAGCCTATCGCATCATCGTTCACGATAACATCATTGAGCACCTCCCACTCAGTGAAATTATCAAAAAGTGGAATTGAATCCCAGTTTCCTAGTCAGTTCCAGTTCGACCGGCATCATGAGAGTAGCGTTCATAGACATCCAAGGGTTCATTATCGAGCATGAATTCCGTCCCAAGGAAATTGCCATAAAAATTGCAGTTCAATGTAGTAATTATTTGCTACTTCCATACAAATCCTTCTCCTCTCTCAGCAAAGAAGACCTATGCGGCGTTTGTTTCTTGGGAAAAAACATTCATGGCCTAAGATATTCTTCTGGTTTTGTGGCATAAAATTTACTGGATGATATTCTTCAAGATAAGCTGAGTGACATCGATATCATTTATGTGCGAGGACATCAAAAGAAGGAGTTTCTGGATGATAAACTAGCAACATTCAATGCACATGCAAGGGTCGTGAATTTGGAACAATTTGACGATTCCTGGTACAACACCGTTCCAACTTTTGATCACAACAACATTATCACATCCTGTATGCATCACCTTCGTCGATCATCCTTCAACTGCAGCCTTCGCAACGTTGATATTTTATACAAATGGTTCGATAATTTGATACCCAAATAATGTCACCCAATTAATCAATAAAAAATAACAACCTATTTACTAATAATTTATTTTTTTTTCTATTCTCGATTCTGCACAGTGAAACGTCAAAAAAACGTCAAACAACAAAACGACAAAACGTCAAAACAACAAAACGTCGAAACGACAAAACGTCGAAACAGCAAAACGTCGAAACGACAAAACGACGAAACGTCAAAACGACGAAACGTCAAAACGACGAAACGTCAAAACGACAAAACGTCTAAATGACAAAACGTCGAAACGTCAAAACGACGAAACGTCAAAACGTCCAAACGACGAAACGTCAATTCATCAAAAACGACCAATGCGTTTGTATTCAAAATCATAATACACATTCAAAATAGATGTCAGATGTTGAATGCCATCTGTTATACGAAATCTATTAAGGGTCACACGTTACACATTTCAAATGGTCTATGTATGTATTACGGAGCAATATCCGATTTTTTCAAACGTCCGACAACGATGTAGCGCACCGCGCACAACGTCCGGCAACCCTGCACTGTCGCATCTATCCTTAGATTCTGTATGATCTAAGCATCTATCGCTTGCTGCTGCTGGCGTTCTGCCGGTCGTCGTGAATCCCCGCAAACATCAGATTTTTTTTATTTAATTCCAAATTTAGATTGAAACAAAATTACGTCACGAGAAATATTATAAATACAAACCATCCAGTATTTGAATTTGCCGTCGCCCGTAATACAGCGAACATTCGCAGCGACACTGCGCCATCTGGTGAGCTTTTGCGGCGGCACTCCGCGTCAACCGGCATAGCTGTACTACTTCGAAATCGCCTCATGTGTAAACTTTTTTTGCCCAAGTTCAGAATTTGCAGCTTCAAGATGAAACAAGTTATATTGTCTAGTGTGATGGTCATGAATTTCGGAATTCCAGATTAATATAAAATTTGATTTAAGCTTGTTGTTGATGATATAATAGGAAATTTTAAGAGTATTTATTGAACGGTGCTCCTCGAAAGAAAATGTGTTTGTTTCCTTATACAGTTGATTCGTTGGAGTATCATATGGAAGACGATCCAATACTTTCAATGCCTTTTTATATAGAACAGAAATTTTGTTAATACTAGTTTTGAAACAAGATCCCCAAATATTTATGAGATAGTTAATTCGACTGAGTATATGTGAATAGAGAATAATATTTGATGTATATGTACGTAGTTTAGGACATCTTCGTAAAGCACCAATAATGGGAGATACTTTTCCTATGAGGATGTCAATATGCTTTCTCCATGTTAATTTCTCATCAATCCAAATACCAAGGTATTTGGTATGGGCAGTTTGTTTCAAACGTTCATTTTTCATGCAATAATTCGTAAAGACGAATAAAATTGCAAGTGTTTCCTTCCCGAGCTGCGCCTAAGTGGTTCAGGAACGCGTTATTACCTGCAGCCCGGTCTCGAGCTGTTGGCTCTCATCAGTACAGGGCTGTCCCAGAAAGCTTCTTGACCGCTATCTGGTGCGAACCTGACCCAACATAAACGCATCTCAGCCTTTATACTTCACGAGGCGTTCAACGTCCGCGAAATGAAACGCGAACACCGAACGCCACCGGGCAAGGAAAGAAACACTCCAAAACAAGATCCCATTTCAGGCGAAATGGGAGTAGCTGGTTGCCCGACTGCGACGTATTTTCAACTAGGAAAAAGCCAAATACTCAAAGTGGAATGCGTTCATGAAATGAACGAAAATGGTAGATAACGAGAGAAAAACAACTACTTTCCTGGCTATATGCCACGCAGAACATTGGATTACATCCTCCCTGAACCACTTAGGCGCAGCTCGGCATTAAGGAAGGAAACACTTGCAATTTTATTCGTCTTTACGAATTATTGCATAGATTTCGGGAGGATGCAATCCAATGTTCTGCGTGGCATATAGCCAGGAAGGTAGTTGTTTTTCTCTCGTTATCTACCATTTTCGTTCATTTTATGAACTATTGTGGTAATGACTGAGTTTCTCTCTATCTGTAATAATACACTTCGTAACGGAATCCCCCATCTCTCGTGCAGGTGATATTCATCGACGAGGTGGACTCCCTGCTCTCTCAACGGAGCGACTCGGAGCATGAGAGCTCGCGCAGGATCAAAACCGAGTTCCTGGTGCAGCTGGACGGCGCCACCACCGACTCGGACGAGCGTCTGCTGGTCGTGGGGGCGACCAATAGGCCGCAGGAGCTGGACGAGGCGGCTCGCAGGCGGTTCGTGAAGCGACTGTACATCCCGTTGCCCGACCAAGAGGTGAGAATTTCGATGTCTATTGCAACCCAAGTAACATTTTAAATGCCTGATAGCTTCGATGAGACTTCAAAGAGGTTATGAGAGCGCAAATGATAGGTCTAATTTGTTCTACCGTTTTATGAATGCCCTGGAAAAAGCATATTGGTCTTCATGCCCATCCTATTAAAAGGCTTTGAGATACTATGATAGAACAATCGCATAAAACAATTTGGCATTCAGCTCACTTCGGTTTTAAGAGAGCTCTGTGAGAGTCATTGAAGTTCTATATCAAAACTATTTACTCTTAACAACCCTCTTAAAACACTTTAGTTTCATTAGTGTTTCGAATTTGACCAAGAGGTTTTGAACTAATCCTATGAAAATACGTCATAAAGCAAATTCACGCTAGGCCAATTAGGATTTGACTGCGGCAATAATGAAACCTAAAAGCATTATTCTACCTTTTTTTAGAACCGTGTTAAACCCAAATCCCATAATATAAATGTTCGTATTTTTTTGCCTACAAACGACTCACGTTGGAATGAACTCACAAGAAAATAAATAGTGTGGAATCAAGAGAAATGGCAACTTCAAGCGAAAAAATAAAGAAAATTACTTAAGAATCAAAAATCAAGTCGTGAGAGCAACAGTAAATCAGAATTCTGGAGCCCAAGCAATTCTAAACACTGCGTCTTTCAATTCAACCCACATGAAACCACCAAATAGCAAGAATTCATTAGGACCTGATGTTCATGAAGTACCATCAACGAACGTAATGGAAAATACTTCTGATCATCGTGCTTCTGAATGGGAACTAGGAAGCGAGGAAGTTGACAACAATTTTGCACAAATTATGTCGGATGGCGAGTTCAGCATGAATTTGAGAGAATGGAGCATTCAACACAATATCAGGCAAACTGCACTAAGTGTAGTTTGTCTCTGTTTATTTTCCTAGTCGGTTTCCTACTTAAAACCAATCAGAAAATTCACAAAGTGAACACTGTAAATAACAAAAGTAGGGTTATGTTAATCATGTTGATGACGTTCTTCTACTTTTTGCAACACTGCCAATGAGCACTAGCCAGGATATTCTTAAAGCTTTATAGTTTTATGAAGACGTTATCTTATAACCTTCTTAAATCAATCTTATCATTTTCGAAGCTTTGTTGTCATACCCAGGAGCAAATAGTCATGAGAATGGATTTGAATATGCAATAAGTACTTCAACAGGAGGAAACCGTCTCATAATAGTATATTATGTAACAAGTGTTATAAACGCCCTTTTAGTAACGAGTAGTTTAAGCACGAGCGGAGCAGAGCGGAGCGAGTGTTTAATAAACGAGTGTCTAGAAGAGTTCATGAACGTGTTACATACTATGATTTTTCTACGAACTCCAAAAATTACATCATCATACCTGCAATTCCTTCTAACCTACAAAATAATTCGAAAGGAATGGGAATTGAGAACATAATACATGCAACTGCATGCAACCATCGAGACACGTATAAGTGATATTGGTTGTAGATGTGGTCCAGTCCATTGCTTACTACTTTGTTTCATGTTTATTGTCATGCTTAGCGCAGAATAAATAAATTGTTCTCAAAGATGGATGCTTCATTTTTACACTTCTTGGAGATATGCAAGTACCAGAACATTCTCTTCAATTTCACTATCGTCTACATTCCGCATATATTTTCAATGGAGAACTCTGATACAAACGAATATTGTTTGGATAATTCTGATACAAAATTTGAAAATTACAGTTGACAGTTAATACAATTGATAGGCCAGAGATGTCTCAAATTACTGAAGCTGTGTTTAATGAACTGTGTTGCCATGGTAATGTGTTTAAGAAATCGTGTTGCCATGGTAACGTGTTTAATATTTTGAATGAATCACAGATCGTCAATCCATGATTAATCGATCATTTAGCGTGGTACGTATCCGTACGCTAAATGCCATTTTAGTTATGTGAGTAGAAAAAATGCTTTATCATTACCTAAAGGTTTTAAACAAGCATTAGAGAAAGAAAATTGGTTTTAAGTATATTTTGCGCCATATTTACTACAAACAGATGTCGGCCATTGATGGAAATGAAAATTTCAAGCGGAAAATAAAAAAGATGCTTGATACTGCCGTCGAAAATGTTGTTTTTCCACATTTTTCAAACGACTCACCCATATTCAGCAAACATTCATACAGTGTTGTCAGTTTTTTTGAAGTTATTAAAATTCACATCCAATTCCAACTGGTAAAAACACATTATTTCTTGGGCGCTGCTTTCTTTGAAGCATATCTGGTATGTTTTCGTCAAAAAAGTCGTCATCGTTTTCATTTTTCAGCCTCAACCTTCACAAAAAAGACTATTTGATACAGTAGGGAATTATCATATCATACCACCATGTTTAATCTCTTTTATGACTATCTATTGTTTTCACTCCATTTTGACATGTTTGTATTATAATTAGTTCTGAAACAAGACTCCCATATAACAAGTTACGGACTATGTTATCTTAACAAATGCTTACTGCAACTGATAAGGTTTTAATTCTAGCCAATAAGTTTTAATGTTGGCATAAGAACTGTCGATTTGAAGCATATAGGTTCGAACTCGTGCTAAATGGCTTTGAAGGAAGTAGTTTTGATAGGTTTTATTATTGCTTTGAGGCATACTACAATAAATTCCTTCAAGTTTTATGACAATCTTTAAGAGAAGCTGTGACAGCTTTTATATAGGTGGACCCTTTATGTTTTGAGAAGGTTGTTTAATTTTTTTAATGATATTATTGAAGTATAATAGTTTTGAAAAGGCATTTTAAAATAGGCTGTAACAACCTCCTGTAGCTAACAATGAAACTGATAATGTTATTTGGGAATTCTCATATCAATCTTTATTTCATTGTCATATATCGAACATATTGGTCCTTTGAGCCGGATCCATTCAAATCAAACTGCCAAGTTCTTCACAAAAAATACAGAGCAGCACTCAGGACTACCTGGGGTAACAGTGAATGCCAAGCAGCTGGAGCTTTCACATGTAGCAACAAGCATTTCAAGCGAACAGGAATATAATACAATATTATGTTTTTGTTCATGTCAACAAGATCAATGCCGTGATAATTCATGGTGTCACGAGTATACTACGTGCCGTAATTTTACTGGGTGATGAATTGCATCAAAGCCAACAAAAAGTCTAATTAGTTTTCATCATAACATCAATGTAATGTTATGTGGACAACTCATGAGGTCTGCATGTGCCCAATGCATTAACAACCAATTCTCTGTCTTTCTCTTCTCTCGTTCGTCTTTCACTTTCACTTATCTGGCCTGTTTTGCTATCTTTCTTTCCGTGTCGGCTCGCAGGCGGTACGTGAGGCAATTGTACATCCCGTTGCCCGACCAAGAGGTGACATTTTCGATATCTCTATTGCAATTTCCATATCACTCCTTATTTCATTATCATATAACCATGCAAATACAGTCCAGTATCGAGCATCGAACATATTGGTCCTTCGAGCCGGATCTATTCAAATCAAACCTTCTAGATTGCCAAGTTCATCACAAAGGATGCACAGCAGCACTCAAGACTACTAGGAGTAACAGTGAATGCCAAGCAGCTTAATCTTTCGCAATGTAACAATCAGGTTCAAGCAAACAAGAAAATAATTACAATATGTTTTTGGTGTTTATTTTCATCAAGGTCAATGACGTGATAATTCAAGGTGTCACCAGTTCATTGCGTGTCGTAATTTTACTGGGTGAACAATGCATCAAAACCAACAAAAAAGTCTTGTTAGTTTTCATCATAACTTCAACTTTATGTTGACAATTCATGAGGTCTTCATGTGCCCAATGCATTAACCATCAATTCTCTGTTTTCTCTTCTCTTACTTTCACTCTGTCTTTTTTTTCTGTCTACGATTTTTTATGTGTTTTTTCGTATTTATGTTGACAAGTCACGAGTATACTACGTGCTGTAGTTCAGCTGGCCAATGAATTACATCAGAACCTACAGAAAGTTGTTTTATCGTAACGTCAATTTTATGTTGACAATTCATGGGGTCTACATGTGGTGAATGCATCAGCAATCAGCTGCAGACAAAATTTTCCTTCACCTCTATTGATTGATCGATTGTTTTTATTACCCCAAAAAACATATCTGTTTATAATAGGGATACATGAACACATATAAAAATAATAATAATGTTGAAAGGTTAACTAAAGAATTCCACCCAGTGGAAACAAATTCGTTATTTTTCTTGAGATGAAAGTTATAACATTTCAATTCTGAGTAATTGAATCATGCCAAATATTTATCAATCAAATTGTCCTGACCAGGTATTGTTTATGATTGACTTTAAATCTGCTCTTTTTTCCTCTTCTCTTTCTTTCCTATTTCTTTTATGTTTCCTTTCTCCTTTTCCGTTCTTTTCTTGCTTTTTCTGTTCTCTCTCTCTCTTTCCCTCTCTCTCTCTCTCCAGCTTGCAAATTACTCTCCTACTCTCTCCCTCCTCTGCCTTTCATTATACGACGCTATACATAGTGGAGTATACTACGGCCTTGCCAAAAATGCTATCTCGGAAACTAAGCGAGAAAGAGGTATAGTTACTTTGGAGAAAATGATCCCCATCGAATTTTGAGCAACTTTGGTTTTTGTGTGTGGTCTGTCTGTCTGTACTCTGTGTTAATCATAAATCGATATATCTCCGGAACCCTTTGACATATCGACTTGAAATTTCGCCATCTTATTGTACTCAAAACAATATTATGTCATTAAAATATGAAGGAAATCGGAAAACTCTAAGGTGGTTTTTCCGGGTTTTTTCGATTTTTCACCGGAAGTTTCTTGTAACCACTCTACAAATCGCAAAAGTGGTCCGATCGATTTCATTTTTTGTGAAAAAAAAAACTCTATCAGGGAGAGACGAAGCCTATTGAAATTGAGCAGGGTCGGAAAATTCCAAGTGGGTTTTTCAAGGAGATTTTCCGAAATACACGGTTCGCTTTAAAACGATATATCTCCTGAACAAATAGACTAAATCCAAATTTAAAAAATGCACCGTATGCCTCTTTGATGACGCAACAAATTATTATTCAACCATTTTTTCGTGCATCCATCGGAAAATGGAAAAACAAATGAAAATCCAAACATCAAAATTTGAAATCCTTTCAATTCAATATATATCGAAAACAAATGGAAAAATCGAAAATTATCAGGAGTGCAAAGTTATCTACTGGGACATTTCCTACAAATTATTTTCCATAATTTTTTCTGTAAACCTAATAGTACAGGAAATAAAGTGAAAAATATGAAAAAAAAAATTTTAACGACCCATAGGGTACTATGAAGATATATTGAAAAACATAGATTATCGATAGATGAAGCTCATCGACTTCCACTGAACCATGAAATATTTTTTCATTTTGTTGATTGGAAGATGGAACAAAAGTGTTGAAAATTTTATTCTCAGATAATTCCAAATATCTCGAAAACAACTGAAAATATCTGAAAATGTTATAGAACCAAAATTATTCCTTTTGATTGAATCTACAAAAAATCCCTATAACATTTTTCTTTGAATTCAATAGTTCGGGAGATACGATGAAAAAACTAAAAAATTTACAAGTTCCTAGAAAAAACAAAAGAAAGTGAAAAAAGCACACTCGACTGTCTTGATTTTTTTTTCCATAAACTACGTACCTAGCTCACTCTACTGTCTTTATTTTTGCCAATAAACTAGGTACGGCTAAGTACGTAGTTTGTACGAAAAATCTCCAGTTCTCATAGCGTCGTATACACATCATTGGTGCCCAATGATAGTTTCAATATAAAAATATGCTCATGATATGGTGCCATGGCCTCAACTTCCATCTTACATGAGCAATGATAAAATATCATCTGCTTTTATAACGTCGTATAAATTATCTGACCTTTATACTAATCTGATACCTTTCAAAAACTACGTACCTCACTTGTTTTGTCTACTACCTTATCTTCACTTTCGATCCCTTCACTTGCTCTCCTCTCACTCTTTTCTTTCTCTACCTCTCTCTATTTCTTTCGTGTTGACTTTCAGTAATGTTCGAGATTAACACTCCATTCTATTCCTAATTTTCTCTGCCCCGCCCAGGCTCGGTTGCAGCTGGTGACTCGCCTAATGGCGAAGGAGCGCCACAGCCTCACTGTCTCCGACCTGGAAAAGATCGCCTCGCTGTCTGCCGGCTATTCGGGCGCCGATCTGCGCAACTCGTGCGCCGAGTCGTCGCTCTCTCTCTGACTGTCTTTCTCTTCATCTCGCGCTCTATCTTTCTTCATGTCTCGCTTATCTATTTCTCTCCCTTTTTCGTGTTGAATTTCAGAAATGTTCGAGACGAACACTATTGTATTCATAATTCTTTCTGCCCCGCCCAGGCTCGGTTGCAGCTGGTGACTCGCCTGATGGCGAAGGAGCGCCACAGCCTCACTGTCTCCGACCTGGAAAAGATCGCCTCGCTGTCTGCCGGCTATTCGGGCGCCGATCTGCGCTACTCGTGCGTCGAGTCGTCGCTCTCTCTCTCTCTCTCTGACTGTCTTTCTCTTCATCTCGCGCTCTATCTTTCTTCATGTCTCGCTTATCTATTTATCTCCCTTTTTCGTGTTGAATTTCAGAAATGTTCGAGACGAACACTATTGTATTCATAATTCTTTCTGCCCCGCCCAGGCTCGGTTGCAGCTGGTGACTCGCCTGATGGCGAAGGAGCGCCACAGCCTCACTGTCTCCGACCTGGAAAAGATCGCCTCGCTGTCTGCCGGCTATTCGGGCGCCGATCTGCGCTACTCGTGCGTCGAGTCGTCGCTCTCTCTCTCTCTCTGACTGTCTTTCTCTTCATCTCGCGCTCTATCTTTCTTTATGTCTCGCTTATCTATTTCTCTTCCTTTTTCGTGTTGAATTTCAGAAATGTTCGAGAAGAACACTATTGTAATCATAATTCTTTCTGTCCCGCCCAGGCTCGGTTGCAGCTGGTGACTCGCCTGATGGCGAAGGAGCGCCACAGCCTCACTGTCTCCGACCTGGAAAAGATCGCCTCGCTGTCTGCCGGCTATTCGGGCGCCGATCTGCGCAACGTGTGCGCTGAGGCGTCGCTCGGCCCCATTCGGTCGATCGACGCGGCGCTCATCGAGCGCGTGAGGGCCGACGACGTGAGGCCGCTGGAGATGAGGGACTTTGAGGGAGCGTTGGGAAGAGTGAGGTCGAGCGTGTCGCCGGCGGATTTGGAGCGGTACGTCAGTTGGGACGGGACGTACGGGAGCGGGTTTTAAGGAAGGATTTATCGGAAGTGTTGTTTTTAAATTATCATATTGTGAGTCATGCTCAAGGTTCGAAACTCTTCTTTGCAACGATTTCCAATGTTTTTCATCAAGTTTCACATACCTATTATATATTATTTCGTGGGAACTAAAGTTTCAGACACTTTAACTTAAAAAGACATTTTTGATGGTGTACAAGATAATTCTTCACTATTCGACATGTTAATACTTTTATAGGTACTTTTTTAATCTGTCTACAATTTGAATGTTTAGGCCTGTTCGTTTGTATTGCTGAACTTGCCAAAGTAGATTTTTTTCTCATAGTTGTCTCTGTTCATGGGATAATGTAACAGAGAAAGTCATAGAAAAAAATCAAGCTCAGCAGGTAGAGCAAACACAAACGAGCAGGCCTAATAAAATCGTTTTCCATCGTGGATGGTTCACTTGTAACTCGAAAAACACCGAAAATACCTTACTTCGTTTTCGTCCTTGTATGGGATATGTGAACGAATCGTTTGAAAATGGTGACAAATGTGGTTATTACTTATCAGTTTTCATCCACTTTTTGAATGCCAATATGAAATGTTATCAGTATTATAATAAAAAATAGGTACATTACAGGTTATTACATCGAAATTAAAACTGAAACATCTGTTACGAAAATGTTCAGGTCTGTTATTGATCGAAATAAAAATGAGGTTTATATCTAGTTTGATTTTTATTTCAAATTCCAAAAACTTCCGAATAGAACAATATACATGGTGTTCCAGAAATAGACACATACAAAAACGTTCAAGATATTGTAAGGATGACACTGTGTTACCCTATCGAATGATATCTCATAAATACTAAAAAACATTTATGATGGCCCCCAACACATCCTCATTCAACAAGAAACTATACCCTCTTCAAACAAAATACGGAGTGACAACGAAATCATCGGCCAGAGCGTTTTTTATGTTAGACATTTGACATTTGGAATACGATTCAATTCCTCGAATCCCATATTTTCTATAAAAACCAATTGGGATATCACTTCCGGTTTTACTAGAAATAGGCCTACGTCGAGAATGTCGAATGAAACCTGAAATGTCCTCTTGTGACACGTCATTGAAGAGAAAATTTGTTGCTTTATCGAATGGCATGAAAATATCTACAGGATTCCATTCAATATTCTCGACCTAGGTCTATTTCCGGTAATTCCGGTAGTGTTATCCAACCGGTTTTTTATGGAAAATATGGGTTTTAAGGAGTTGAATCTTCGATCCAAATGTCCAACATTAAAAACAACTGAATGACGCCCTGGCCAATGATTTCGTTGTCACATGTACAGGGTGATTCAAACTTCCCGCCTTTGGCTTATGACAAGAAAAGGATAAAGGCAGGCGCAAATTCGGCAGAGGGGACTCGAATAGCTGTATGTAAGGTTAAATGTTTCTTATTTAACATCTTTCAACACTTTTCAAAGTGGCAGAAATGACGTCGGGAAATTTTTTTTTCACAAAGTTACCATTTTTTTTCATATATTCATTGTATTTTTATATTTTCACCTACCCACTGCAAAAATCCTCGCTCAAGGAGAAATAAAAAATAACCCATAGACGATGTTCTTCAATGTGCACAACTTCGAAATTGAAATCCCGCTACATTTTGGAGCATTCTCATTGCTTGACGTATTCGATTTTCATTGGTTCTCATCAAATAATTTCAGGTATGAGGTGAATAGCTCCAGTAATTTCAATAATTATAAGAATTTAGAACAATAATTAGTGAATTTCTTCAGTACTTTCAAGAACTTCTGATGAATTTGGTAATTACAGTAATTTTGAAATACATCTGGATAACTTCGGCAATTTTTCAAAATGGTAACTGTAGACAAAATATGTTTTTTGTCGACCTATATTGAAAATCACATTTCATGATCTGATTTCCGAACGAAGAACCGACTATTTCCGAAGGCAAGTACTTTTCATCCACAGACACTAACTTTTCGTCCGCTGCAGGGTTGCCGGTTCTACTGAATTTTCAGGAATCTCCTGATTTGTATATTGATCTACTGATCTACTGAAACATTTCATAATCTACTGAAGAATATTTCGACACCTATTATTATTACTATTACCTATAGTATTATCAATCTTCAGTTAATCACATACACTTATAAATTGCATGATATTTCAGCACGCTCTGTTTAAATTAATTTTACAAAATAAGTAATAAATGTACATATAGGTACTAATGATATGTATAAACCAAAAAATGACAATACTTTATCTGATTCAGATCAAATTCTATTGTGTATATACCTCTGTTATAACAGTTTGTTTTTACGTTCAATTTTTTTATTTGTTTTGTTTGTTGTTAATTTTCACAATTTGTTCCTGTTTTTTGAATACTCATCAAATCTTATACCTATGTAACTGTTTATTATGATATTTGTGAGTATTTTTGAATTGAGAATTAGGAATATGATTATTTTTGTATGAGAATTCTTGATGTGGTTTGTTTCTATTTTGTTGAAAATAGGTTACTTTTCTGTTTACTGAAAGTACAGTAGGTTTACATGGGGCGCCCATATCTAAAATAATTTTGAACCAGTATGTAAACCTATTTTATTTTTTCAATCCAAAACCGTTTGTCTAACGAAAAAAAGTCAAGAGGTTATTTTTGTTAGCAACTAATGAGAGATTTCAAAACTGATTTTTATTTTTATAAAAAACAGTGGCGTGGCATTTTTTAATGTAATAAAATTATATTATGGTCAATATCAACGATTCAAAAAAAGGAAGATGATAAATTATTTTCATTAAATTATAGAGAAATTTATCCTCTTTCAAAACATATAAAAATTTATGTAACGGTTAAAATGTTGATCGAGATCAAATCGTTCAGTATAAGAAGGTTTTTTAGTGGAACTGACTGGGATGTCAGATTGAGATTTTAGATTGTCATAAAAAGTTAATAAATACTTTCATCGTTACTTGTCTCCGAGTTTATATTTCCTGTGCATCACTATAATAGTGACTTGTACAATTGGTCCTTTGAGTTACAGTCAAGAAATAACCAGCTGGCGAATCCAGAGAGAAAGCCTGTTTTGTCCATTACTTTGACTATTAATAACCTGAAAGAGGCTCGTGAATGTCTTAAGAAGGCAATAACGGACCAGAATATCCCGTTGGACCTGGCGGCATCCTTCTTATATTACTACTTTGAGACCATTGTGTGTCAGAACACAGAGACTTGGAAGTCGTATGGGGTGGATATCGCACCTAAGGATGCTAACGTGACTCCGCTCAGTCTGTTAACAGTTCGGCAAGTACAAAACATCTTGGAATACCCAAAAACCGAACAAGTCAGACAAACCGACGACCCCTGGATGGCCATCTATGTTTTGGGGATCTACAGATGCGTGAGGGCTAAAGCGGCAGATTATAAGTCGCAGATAGCACAACGCATTACGACTCAGATGAAGTCAGTAAGTGCGGCAGCGACGGACATGACGGAGGCAGTCAGTATTTACCAGTCCTGGGAGAATAACCGGACATACTGCACATTAGTTGCTGCAGCCGATATGTTCTTCCACCGATTCCCAAATCATCATCTATCCAACATGCGCATCGGAACGACAGGGTCAAGGTATAAGGATTGTGCTGCCTTGATGTCCTTGGGATATATAATGGACTTATTAGGCTTAGACAACTTGTCTGACTTATTCGAGTGGGTCTTTCTCAACAAAATCGGAGATGAGATAGACTCCATGATGAAGGAGAACGAAGAACTATGTGATCAGTACTCATATTTTCCCTATCAAGTTGACCTCGGTCTTGTCAATAAGTCCAAATATTCGGCAGCCGCCAATCCACACTTTTTTGAATTCATACATTTGATAGGATGTCTGTTAAGATCCCAAAGGTCTATGAATGCGCGTCACATATGTGACTCGCAGTCCATGGACATGTTACAGAATTCCGCATGCGTCGCATATGTATACTCACATACTTTCAAAGTGACCAAGGTGTATGCCAAAGATGAGGAGGAATTGAAAGCCCTACAGGCAGTAGAGGAAGAATTGAGTGATTGTGAGTTAGAGCAAGATGATTTAACACAAAAAATAGTCGAAGAAACATTGCGGTCACGGGATCCTTACGCTTGGATGAAGATGATCCGTGGCATGAACTCACAAATGCCTAGGGCAGTTCGGCACTTCATTGTATCGGTCGGAAGGAAGATAACTGACCCTAGAGAAGGTACAGTTGACGCATATCTCAAACGCATTTCGATCTTCTTTGTAGAGATGGAAGAAACTCCTTTGTCCATCGTACCCAAAATCTATTTGTCATCATTTGAGCTATTTTCCATTGCTTCCGTCCAATTCCAAATGGATTCAAAAGTTTTCAGACAAAGTTAGAAGTCTTATTGATTGCAAAACATTTCCTCTACCACAAAATGTAATCAACGATTTTGAAAACATCAAAGAGGATATAGCTAAATCACTCTTATGGACTATCAAAGAAGATGAACTTCTTGTTGTAGAAACAGATGCGTCTGATTTCGCCATAGCAGCCACCTTGGCTCGATTAGGGAAATCAATTATTCAAGAATCTACTTACCGCATAATTGAGACATTTTGGTGGACTGATTCAGATGTTGTATTGAGTTGGTTGAAATCTGAATCTTGCAGGTTGATACCGTATGAAGCTCACAGAGTAGCAGAAATAACTGAATTATCGAACATTGACAATTGGAAATGGGTGCCATCAGAATTTAATCCGGCAGACTTAGCTACCAAAGAATCGAGTGAAGTAGATTTCTCTGTTGGAAATACTTGGTTGGATGGTCCCGAATTTCTCAAGAAACCAGGAGAATGGTGCATAAAATATGGAGAAAATATTGAACCAAAACCATCAGAATATATATATACAATCGTTCAAAATGATTCGACTTATGTTTTAGCAGATGTATCAAGATTTTCCAATTGGGTACGACTAGTCCGTTCTACAGCATGGGTGAACCGTTTTATTTACAACGTGAAAAACAGGAACAATAAGAATAAAGGACAGCTTACTACTGAAGAAATAGAAGAAACAGAAAATTTGTTGTGGAAACATGTGCAGAAGAATTTTTTTGGAGAAGAAATAAAAGCTTTAAATGATAAAAATCCAATTGAAAGGAATTCTTCGATTCATCAGCTTTCACCATTTCTAGATGAAAGAGGAGTTCTTAGAATGGACAGTAGAATCAAATATGCCAACTTAGAGTATGATGCTAAATACCCAATTATTTTACCCTCAGGTAAGAAATCGAGAGTTGTTATGCTATTAGTAAAATGGTACCACGAGACAGTCAAACATATTGGTCAAGAAACTGTCATAAATAATTTGAAACAAAAATTTTGGATTATTGGAATGCGTCAGTGTGTAAGAAGTATCATCCATAAATGTCAGTACTGCAAAATAAAACGAGCTAAGCCTTTACAGCCTGAGATGGCACCATTACCTGAATATCGGTTGAGAGGCTATACTAGACCGTTTAGCTATTGTGGGCTTGATTATTTTGGTCCATTGATAGTTAAAGTTAAAAGAAGTTCCGAAAAGAGGTATGGAGCATTGTTTACGTGTTTAAATACGAGGGCAATTCATCTCGAGATAGCTAATTCTCTATCAAGTGATTCCGCATTGATGGCTATCAAGAGAATGATTTCCAGAAGAGGACAACCTCTGGAAATACATTCAGATAATGGTACCAATTTTGTAGGGGCAGAAACTGAAATGAAAAAGTATTTGTCTGAGATGTCGCAAGAGAAAATGATCGACTCCTTAGGAATGAAGAAGATAAAATGGGTATTCAATACTCCAGGGGCACCTCATACAGGAGGAGTATGGGAAAGGATGGTAAAAGCAACGAAGAAGGTTTTATATATAATTTTGAAAGAGCAACGCCCGTCAGAGGAACTGCTTTATACTATTCTGTTGGAAGTTGAAAGTATAGTTAATTCCAGGCCGATAAGTTACGTTTCCTCAGATCAAAGCGATCTCTGTGCTTCAACACCCATGCATTTCTTAATTGGAACTCCAAATATCGACAACATCCCTGGAGTGTATAGAGCTGGTGATGAGTATGGACGGAAGCAATGGAAAATAGCTCAAATGATGACAAATAGATTTTGGGTACGATGGACAAAGGAGTTTCTTCCATCTCTACAAAGAAGATCGAAATGGCACGGAAAGTCGAAATCTATTCAAATAGGAGATGTCGTAGCATTTCCCAACGCTGATGCTAAATCTAATTGGAAACTTGCAAGAGTAACGAAAATATTTCCTTCTAAAGATGGACAAATCAGGAGCGTAGAAGCGAAAACAGCAAATGGGACCTTCAATCGCCCTGTCAATGCTCTACTTTGGTTGGAGGTTGGAGAATGTAACGGTTAAAATGTTGATCGAGATATAGATTCACTATATAAATTCAAATTAATGTCGTTCATTCATTCAGTTAAACATTGTCAAAAGCATTCAAATTTGATTTTCCAAGTCAATAGTAATCACCACAACCATACAACCAGACAAGCAGATCATTTTTCTGTCAAGAAAATTAAATCAGATATTGGTAAAAAATCCATCTATCACAATGGAATGATACAATACAATTCACTACCAAATAACTTGAAGCTGATTAATAGGATTGAAAAATTTAAAAGAGAATTCAAGAAACATCTACTCCTGTAATATTGACATCTTATCTCATTTTTATAGTTTTCTTGTACAACTACTATAGTTTTCAATTGTGTACCTAACAGCTGAGTCAATTGAGGATCATTTTCATTTGAACTTGAAAAAAAGAAGATTTTTTTTGAGTGTGAGTCTTATTTTACTGTCTTCTTTATTTTGTTTTGTCAAATATATTTATGTATTCACTATGTTCCCTGCTATAAACAAATGTTGTTTCTTGGGATTATTAAAGTTGATTGATTGATTGATTGAAATCGTTCAGTATAAGAAGGTTTTTTAGTGGAACTGACTGGGATGTCAGATTGAGATTTTAGATTGTCATAAAAAGTTGATAAATACTTTCATCGTTACTTGTCTCCGAGTTTATATTTCCTGTGCATCACTATAATAGTGACTTGTACAATTTATATACCATTACATTTGATTTTTCTGAAAAGAACTCAAAAATTTGCCAAATAATCGTTTTGTAGGGCAAATTATGCTCTTTCATATTACCCTAGGTTTGCTGAAATCGGTCGAAATAAACGGGGAAAATCTTGGTTTGTTTGAAAAAACAATTGAACTTCCCCTACCGCTTTATTTTGATAAACGTTTTTGACAAAGAATGTAGGGAAATGGTCAGTAAATATGAAAATGATATCATCGACATACTTTCATGAGACAAAATTCTATAAAAATCCCATTTTTCTACTTGGTGTTGGTTGTTACGTCCTCTACCGGACGTTTGACAAACTCGAAAATAATTTCCAGCAATTTCTCTTGGCGACTTTTATCATGATTTTTTTTCTTAAATCTATACGACTAATATCTAATGAGATATGGCCGCTCGCTACCCTTAACTGATCACCCTATACATAATGTTTATTCCATTATCCTTTCTTGGAATTTTTATAGCATAAAATAGATGTTAAACAGATCTATTGAAATCCACAGAATGTTTCACAAGGTATACACTGATGGAATAAAAATCGATCTGGCAACCCAGGTCAGCGCGGAGAGTGAGTTAACAACAACTGTCATTTGCTGTTGTCAAATCAATTATTCACTAAATCCCATAGATTTCACGCGTGCATAGGACCTTGGTGTGGATATAAGTGTTTGAGGTCGACGAACATAATTATGTAATATGCACATTGGCGAAAAACTGTCTCTTGTCTCGCCTGATTGCTATTCTCACCTAAGGCATCAGCTTTCAATTTGTAAACTGGACTATAATAGAGTGTTTCGTCCTTGGTACAGGGTGATTCGCCATAAATGTCCCCCCCCTAGCTCAGTTATTTTTGAACCGATTACAAAATTTTAAATATCATCTAAAATGATTTTCGATAAAGTTTTTTTCCACTACATCAGAAAATACAAGGTGCTCGGAACAAACGATCTACAGGGCACTTTTTGATTTTTTTTAATGGAACACCCCATTTCTCGTTGTATTCTTAGATTCTCCCTGAAGAGCTGATTTCATCAATGCATCACATTTGGGGTCTAGCGAAAATGATTACAGAGATATAGGGTGTTCAAAATCGAGATTTTTCAACTTTAGGATTTTTTTGTGACGAAACTATTCATTATCGGTCAAAATGGCTTTCGTGCCCGTATCCCAACTTTTGATTCACTATCTACTGACATTTAATAATTGGAACAGATACAGGGTGATCAGAATTCTGAATCTTGAATCACACTGTATATGTTCTAATTGAATGGCAGTAGATAGTAAATCAAAAGTTGAGATAGGGACATGAAAGCCGTTTTGACCAATGATGAATAGTTTCGACACAAAAAAATCCTAAAGTTGAAAATTTTCGATTTTGAACACCCTATATCTCTGTAATCATTTCCGCTAGACCCCAAGTGTGATGCATTGATGAAATCAGCTCTTCTGGGAGAATGTAAAAATACAATGAAATACAGGGTGTTCCATTGGAGAAAAATCAAGTAGTACCTAATCTGTAGATCGTTTGGTCCGAGCACCCTGTATTTTCTGATGCAACGGGAAAAAAAAAATTTTCAAATTTTTAAATCGGTTCATAAATAAGTGAGCTAGAGGGGGGGACATTTATGGTGAATCACCCTGTACATAAATAACTATTTCCACAAAGTTACCATTTTTTTCCTTATTCTGAAAGAACATTTTGTTGAACAACTTTCATTAAAAAAGTTATTTCAATGTTTATTTGTTTGAAAGCTATGATACTCTGAAGTTGGCAGTTTCAAATGAATCTCAACTGAACCCGCCGTAATGAAAATCATGTCGGCCGGGTTCTGGGCTGGGTTTTAGGTTTAATCGGTTTTATTATGAATGCAAAATGTACCCCAATTCATTTTACAAAACAATTCGTTCCCGGCCGACTTTATTTTTATTACGGCGGGGTCGGTTCAGTTGAGAAAAATATTTGAGAATGCCAACTTTAGAGTCCCATAGCTATCAACCAAATGAAGATAGAAATGAACTTTGTGGGAAAAATAATTTTTCTCACGCAATTTCCGCCATTTTGAAGCTTTGAAAAATGGCCTCTGCCAAATTTGCATTCGCAGTTTTGATTTTTCCTGTTATAAGCCAAGGGGGGAAAAGTTTGAATCACCCTGTAACAGTGTGTCCAGTTTACGATGGTTTTGCGTGATATATCTGCTAAAATCTTGCGATTTTCACGGTCTTGTGCCAATTTTTTTGCGAAACTCAAGGTAGCCTGATCAGATTTTGTACAACTGTTTCCGTTTATGAGATACAGGGCGATTTTGAAAATTTATACTTTTTGGACCCCCTCTATATCTAAAAAGTTTCTCATGCGAAAATATCATATTGAGATCTTATCACATAGAGGATTTCATCCAGAATCCAGTGGTGCACTCAGGTTTTTTTTTCGGGGTATGATTTTGGAGATACAACTCAAACTTATGGAAATGGAACACCCTGTATTTTATAAGCTCATCAAATTCCTTATTTTTTCACTTCAGAATGATACATAATTATAGATATGGAATTGTCAAAAATGTTCAAAAATCACTGAATCATTGAGTTTTAATAGTGAGATATGGATTTTTCATGTAAAAAAGTTCTAATTGAAGGAATATTTCCTTTGATTTTTCTATGAAGAGGAGAAAAACGATACCAAACCTAAATTAAATAACGAAACAAAAAACTCAGGTACCTGATAGCAATGAATAAATAAATAGTAATAAAAAGTTCATGATGTAAAATAAGCACCCGATTAAATATTCATTAAAACAATTGAATTTCGAAATTATTCAGTAACTTATTCATTGAATTGTTTAAATTTTTGTCCATTTTCTCTCACACACTATTCAATCAGGTGCTTATTCAACATTATGAACTTTTTATCACTATTTATTTATTGCTGTCAGGTACCCAAGTTTTGTATTTTGTTAGTTAATTACTGTTGATATTGTTCTTGTCCACTTCATGGAAAAATTGAAAGAAATATTCCTTCAATTGAAACTTTCTCTATATGAAAAATCCATATAAAATTGTTAAGCATTCTCGAAAATTTTATATTGTAAAATTATGTAACATTTTGAAGGGAAAAAAATGAGGAATTTAATGTGCTCATAAAATAATGGGGGTTCCATTAAAAAAAATCATAAGTTTGAGTAGTATCTCCAAAACCATACCCCGAAAAAAAAAAGGTTGATGGCGCCACTGGATTCTAAGTAAAATTCTCTATGGGATGAGATTTCAATTTGACATTTTCGCTGAGAAACTGCGTAGATATAGAAGGAGCTGAAGACGTATTATTTTTCAAAATCGCCCTCTCATAAACAGTTATGCAAAATCTGATTAGGCCATCTTGAGTTACATGAAAAAGTGGCACGGGACCACGAAAACCGTCAGGTTTTATCTCCAATGATAACGCAAAAGCATCGAAAACTGGACACACTGTACAAAAGAGTGGTCTTACAATGATTGCGTCTCCACTGCTATTTCTGTAACATATTGCGCATATACCTCCCGAGTCCAATCGGCTCGGAAGCTTTCCACTCAACCTTCCCCTTTTATTTTCTCACCGGCTCACCCCCAATCCTCGTCCATCCACCCCTCCTCCCCCGCCTCCTCCACGTTCAACGCCAACTTGCCGCCGGCGACCGTCTGGCCAACCGCCTCCACCAAGAACTTGTCGGCGCGCGCTATCACCGGCTCCATGTCCTGAAAGTAGGGTTGCAAGTTTTCCGAAAAAGTTGAAATTGCTGAAAAGTTCGATTAACTTTTCAAGAAATGTTCGAAATAGAGGCACTGGATGGTATTAGTTGATTATAGTTCGGACACAGAAATGACAACGGTTAGGGTTTTTGAATGTTCATTTATTAAGTTACACACCTTGCATTGTGACAAGGGCACCATTATTGGCAAGGTGATCGACTGTTGGAGGCGCTGCTTTTAAACAAGATGGCGGCAAAGAGTGTGTTGTTTGTTTACAAAATTTATCGAGATTTGCATACATTTTCTTCTTAATATTTCATCGTGTTATTTGTGTTTATTGTTGAACTTTTTACTGAAATCATAATTATATTTGTTGGATCATACTATTTCATCGTGATGTGAGGAAAATAACTGTTACCTACTGACTGAATCATGGACCAAATAGTCTTCAAACCAGTGCATTTCTGTGGGACAGCTTTATGGGATATCAAAAATCACAATCATCAGAAGCTGATATATTCACCATCATACCTCTATAACTCCACTCTTCAAGCAAAAGGATCCTACAGACCACAAATGGTGATACCAGGAGTAAAGTTTTTCAACAGTGAACTTCCTTCTGTGAATATATTGAAAACCATCCCTAAACAATGTGTTAACCTATTCGACTATTTTGTGCTAAATATTATAGCCATCAGAATCATGTACATTTGATCCATACAATAGAAATCAGCAGCAACCAGCTCTAACAAGCCTAAACCAAGAAATAATTCAACACCAAAGACACCCTGACATTACTGTGGATTTAATAGTAGATACAAATATCAATGGCCTATCTTCAACAATATTACTTCCAGGCACTGCAAATAAGAGTTATTCATCAGTAATAAATATATCAATGAATCACAAATTTACCTTATTGTTATCATTATTGGACCAATGAAGTGAAAAAAGGTAGGAAGTTTTTGTTGGAGCTACATCCAGTTTTCAAAATCATATTGGATTCTCAACGTTTATCCATTTTTTCCATTCAACTGAACTGATTTTTCATCAGAAAAGACTTCTTAAGTGCAAGAAATTCATATTGAATTATTAATAAAAGACATTATAGGTCCTACATTTTTCCATTGGAACCTTCCACTAGTTCAACCAGCAACCAAACACAGTTGATTTCGCGTATTATTAGAGATTTGTTGATACTAATTTATAAAATAATATAGAATTGAGTAGGCAATTAATATAAAGTTCATGTCTTGTACTAAAGAGGAGCAAGAAGAGAAAATTAACGTAATTTGTTGAATGGTATTCATAAAATTTTAATATGAAACACAATGAACACAATAACAAACATGACCTTGAATTACGTCCTAAACTGGTTCAAATTTGCCCACCAGACGTCGTATCGGAATCGTCACCTTGCCAATGGTCGTCCAGCGCTATTTCATTCAAAATTGTTTGAATTTGACAATGAATTTTATAAACGTCAGAATTGAAATAACATTTCATAATTATACCTTGGAGAAAAAAGCAGTTATGAAAATCACTTGCTGTGTAATGAATTTTGCCAATTCTAAATAAATGGATATCATTTATTCAATTTTCCATCACACATATCAACCATCGCTTATGAAAGAAAGATATGAAACGGCCTGGGTGGAAAATCAATTTGAAAACGAGCAAAATTTGTGAGGTACTTATTAAAATTCACTTCTTATAACAGCATCTGATAAGAATGAAACTATATTTTAGGCCCGTTTTCAAACAAAAAATTTTAAAATCTGTTTGAGAGAATCTGCTGTTCCATCAATTTACATAGCAGACGATTTCAAGCACAAAATTCCATTTTCATCATCACACAAAATATAAAACAAAATAATCATGGAAAAAGAGGAATTGATCACAAAATTACATGATGAAATTGAGAATTTGAAAACGAAACTAAGAAAAGGAAGTTAAGTACAACGTGATATATTATATTGAATGGCGTTTTTGGTGCCGACCGAATTAAAAAAAAAAAAAAGTGGAAAGTGAGTAGTTATTTATGTATCAATGGAGTTATTATAAGGGCCTCAATTACGCTGGAGGTTATCGCTATGTGAAGTTGCTGAGAACTTTACAAAACCAAGTATGTGGTAGGTCTCGTCAATATAAACTCCTTTTTTAATATGAAATCTACACCGAAACATGATTTGTTCTCTGTATTTCAACACCCTGTATCTCTGAAATGAAGCATTTCCGGTCACAAGCTTATATAGACTTTATTTCTTTATTAAAATTGTCTCAGTAATACTTCACTTGTACGTACTTATGTTACTTCCAGTATATTGAGAATACCTACCTTTAATTTAATAATAATATCTTCATGTTTTATACTTATCACTGGAGTACAGTTTCACACACAATAAGGAATAATAGCTATTAGTTTATCCATATGTGCATATTTTCTAATATTAAAATGTTGTTACATGAATTCTTCATTCATAAAACAGTTGTTCTGCTAGAAGTGTATGAATTTAAGTGGGTGTTTGTACCCTATTTCCATTGGCCATCTACGGCTATGATTGATTTGACAGAAAATATAACCTCTAAACGCATATCTGACAATCAGGCGCTACTAGGGAAATTGAAAAGACAAAGAGCAGATGTCTTATTCTTTTATTCACTTAAACCATTGTATTATAGAAAATAGAAAAGGACAAAAGTTCAGCTGTGTCCGAACTCTTATCAAACTAATACCATCCAGTGACTCTAGTTCGAAAAACTTTGAAAAGTTGAGCTTTATGGTAATTTTGAAGTTGCATCTTGCAATTGTGATGTGTTCTTATGGGGAAATTATGTAAATAAAATACTGACTCAACTTTTTATAGTTCCGTCCTTGAAGTATTTCCACACCATTTTTTTTCTCATTTACCATCTTGATAAATTAAAACAATTCACTAGCTTAGCTAACGCGGGGACGGGGATAGCGATCAGCGATCGGGGTATTAACTGGGTTATAAACAAACTAGCGTATTATTGTCTTCCATAGATGAAGAACCCAAAGTCATCTCCACAACTTTTATTGAAATGATCAAAGATCATCAATGGTACATGTTTCGGGCTTATATAGGCCCATCATCAGCCGTAAAAATAGTTCAAAGTTCTAGAAAAAACCGGAATACAAACAGTTATATAGATATGTAAAGGAAGTTCAGAATCGGAAAACAAAACGGCAACAAAAAAAAATAAAAATAAAAATCAAGATTAAAAAAAAAATTTTTACTTTTTTAAAAACACAATTTTACATTAACAGTAAGTCTTCCGATTCTGAACTTCCTTTACATATCTATTTAACTGTTTGTATTCCAGATCATGGAGCAGTTGCCTTTGTTTCCTCAGTTACTGTCCACGTTATTTGAATTTCAACATTTTTCACTTCCATGTAAGTAATCAATCATTGCATTTATACCCTAAGTCAATACCGGTTTTTTCTAGAACTTTGAACTATTTTATCGGCTGATGATGGGCCTATATAAGCCCGAAACATGTACCATTGATGATCTTTGATCATTTCAATAAAAGTTGTGGAGATGACTTTGGGTTTTTCATCTATGAATTACACCACTCCACTTTGAGTTACCATGGACTTCTTCCAAAGTATTATAGTCTGTTATTTTAGGTACGGGCGACGTTCGGCGGCTTTCGCGGGGATTTACACGGTTCGGTAATGAATAGCGGGGAATTCCCGTATCGTTATGTTCGCGGACGGCCTAGTTCTGCCATTTTTTTGTGTAATTATGAATATTTATGATATATATTATATATCGGCTATATAATATATAGGGTGTTGCGAAATTCGACCGACAACGCCTGACAGGTTTTTTTATATTCACCCTTAAAACTTTCATAACAAAATCAGTTGAGCATACCTTCGTTCAAATTCGAGCATATTTGTGCAATTAACTTGGATTTTAATTTTTTTGGGAATCACAAACTTTATGTTTGTTGCAACGATATTCAGCTCAACTTTAAAATTTCGCAGACCATATTTTTAACAAGGTGAAACATCATTAATGATAATATGCATATTCAAAAACTTCCATTTAATGTGAACATTTTGTATTTAAAATATTACAAATTGGGAAATTATTAACGAACAAAATTGAAAAACTGAAAAATGTCTTAGGAGGCCATGTTTTGGTATTTAGACATGAATTTCAATTGTAAACAACTTTTCCCAATAACATTTTGCTGAATTTTCCGATATAAGGGTAATTTACTCTTGAGCAATTTATACATATATTTTTTGACCTACCCTGTATGCTGTTTGACTTGCAACCATTCTAAGTGCACCTAAAATGATTACCGAACATGCACCAACTTTTGGCACTATCTGTATTTTGGTTGTGCAATTCATTAAAAAGATTCCCATATGTTGCACACTTGAATGACCACACTGTATATCGCTGATATCATTTGAACAGTGGCTGGATACTCACACTGTCTCTGTTGGACTAAAATTACAAAATGTTCAACTTCTCCAACTTTTCCAAGGTACTAGCGAACTTTTCAACTTTTCCGTGATATTTTACCAACTTTTCAAGCGAACTTTTCAACGATTGCAACACTACCTGGAAGAAGTCGAACTCCTCTTTCTTGGTGACGTCCACGCGGTGTTTGATGTCCAGCGCCTCGATTTCGGGCATCGGCGGTTTGCGGGCGGGATCGGCAACGGTTCGGGTAGAATCGGGTAGCGGCGGCGATTCTCGGGTGTCGCCGTTGGGTATCGGGCGGTGATGGTGGTGGTGGGCGGCGGTCTGGTTTGCTTCGTTCATGTCCCAATCTTCCCAGTTGTCTATGTCCTAAACATATGAGGAACATGATAGTGTATTGAAAAGGAATATTCTCAGATATTATTATGGAAGTGTTGAAAAGGAATATTCTCAGATAAATTATGAACATAAAAAAATGGATATATATACAGTATGATGCAAATGTATGGAATAAATTCATTTCAAAACAAGACGACGCCCGAAAAAAATCCAAAACTAGAGTTCAGAACTTTTTTCATTGTGTATTTTTTCAACTAGACGACCCTTCGAAGTTCAATACTCAGTAGCAGACCTCAGCAAGATTCAGTTAACCAAATGATAATCCATTTTAATTGCAATATTCTTATGCAAAATTTTGACTGTTGGATAGACGATCAGTAGACCTTTCAAACGAGGTGTCACATGACCCCTGTTTGTATTTGAAAAAATCGTCCATTACGTCATTACTCCAACACCAGTGACGTAACATCTTTCATATGAATGTCATGAGATGAGGCTTCAAAAATTAAAACTCACGTGTTTTTGGAATTTATTCAAATGTCGCCCATTTCTGAAATAATGAATTTATTCCATACATTTGCATCATACTGTATATATATACATATATAAAACAATAAATTGAGAATTCGCATTCTCTATGTGATGAGAATATCAACTCTTTTTTAGTTTATTGATTGATTGATTGTCTTCATTACCCCAAGAAACAGTTGCTTTTAATAGGGATACATAAACAATACATAATGCTATACATACAATTATGAAATAAATAACAAGTAAAAGAAATGCTAATAATCATGCAATATCAACCTTGTCTTTTATAACCAGGTACCTATTCAAATAAGAGATGGAATTATCAAAGTCTCTGAAGCAGATATTATTTCAAGTAAATTTAGAATCTAGTTGCTTCCTGTACAGAGTGGGCCGTTGAAAACGAAACAGAGGCTCTGTAGGTCGCCAAAACCGGATTATAAAAAAAATCTGAAACACGTCAACTATATTTTCGAGGGGGACATCATTCTAAAATATTTTCAGCCCTGCGGCGTTGCCGCTTCTACAGAAAAGAAGCAACAACTTTGGTATTTCAAATGGAACACCATGTATTTTATTGCATTTTTAGATTCTCCCCGGAGAGCTGATTTCATCAATGCATCACACTTGGGGTCTAGCTGTAATGGTTTCAGGTATAAAGTGTTCAAAATCGAGATTTTTCAACTTTACCATTTTTTTGTGTCGAAACTATTCATTATTGGTCTCAACTTATGAATTACTATCTACTGACATTTATTTGAAACAAATACAGGGTGGTTCAAGATTCAGAATTCTGATCACCCTGTATCTGTTCCAATTAAATGTTAGTAGATAGTGAATCACAAGTTGTGATAGGGACATGAAAGCCATTTTGACCAATAATGAATAGTTTCGACACAAAAAAATGCTAAAGTTGAAAAATCTCGATTTTGAACACTTTATATCCCTGAAACCATCACAGCTAGACCCCAAGTGTGATGCATTGATGAAATCAGCTCTTCGGGGAAAATCTAAAAATGCAATAAAATACATGGTGTTCCATTTGAAATAACAAAGTTGTTGCTTCTTTTCTCTAGAAGCGGCAACGCCGCAGGGCTGAAAATATTTTAGAGCGATGTCCCCCTCGAAAATATAGTTGACGTGTTTCAGATTTTTTTTATAATCCGGTTTTGGCGACCTACAGAGCCTCTGTTTCGTTTTCAACGGCCCACTCTGTATATTGATTGAGTGATTGTCTTTATTACCGCAAGAAACATTTCTGTTTATGATAGGGATACATGAATACATATAAAAAAAATAATAAAGGGTTAACTGATGAATTCCACTCAGTGGAAACGAATTAATAAAGTTTTCAAAGATTGAAGTTATATTTCATTTCAAGTAATCAAATCATGCCACATATTTTTCATTCAAATTGTCCTGAGCAAGTATTTTTCAAGATTGATTTCAAACCTTCCTCCATCATGTATATTTTTCAACTCATTTCAACAGAAAACAACTACTTTCCTGGCTATTTGCCACGACGAACATTGAATTATATCTATTGAACACACACGATAAGAGTTTGAAAATAAAATATAAAATCTTCTGAAATTGAGAATTTGCATTCTCCTTCAGACAAAAATATGTATATGCACATATCATTCTGAATATTCAACAGAAAATAACTACTTTCCTGGCTATTTGCCACGTCGAACATGCATTGCTTTATACATATATCCATTTTTTTATGTTCATAACTTATCTGAGAATATTCCTTTTCAACACTTTCAAGAGGTTCAAACTCGAACGATGAAAACTTGTCATTTTTATAGACCTCTAATCACAGATTCGTGATAGAATCTCAATTCAGAATTTCTTTCCACGCCTTCTATGATGAATATCAGTTTGTCATACACCCAAAAATATAATTATGAAAATAAAAAATTGGTGTGTAGACTTTAACTGGAATAAATTTGTTAGCGGTAAGGTGAATATTTTTTCTAAAAATTCCCGGCATACGTCAACGATTCAATGTATTTACCTACCTTTTGCAAGCAGTATCGAGGATATATCCCTCTAGGGGTAGCTGAAACCACCCTAAAAATGATTTTTTCAAATGTACTAAGGCTTGTGACCCCTCATTGGAAAGCTGGTGAAAAGAGGAATCCAGCGTACTATTTAAATTTTAGTTTTTCATACGTTTAGAGGTTGCATAAAATTGGAATGTAATTTTAAAATTCATTCTTTTTCATCGTAACAATCACTCAAAATGTGTGTTGAACAATTGATGGCAATTTTTTGCCACAACTGCTATCTGCTATTATATTCCAGAGTTTTTATAGAGCCGCAAAAAGAAATTTCGTTTTATTGCCGTATTCATAGATTGTAACGAAGTGTTATTGCAAACTGGTGGAGATGCCCTAAATCACTGTCACTAAAAGTCAAAATTTTGATGAGAATACGTTGAAAATATATCATACTTTGAAATTATATTTTGATTTTAGGCGACCCGCAAAGGTACCGCAAACAGAGAAATGATAAGTACGCTGGATTCCTCTTTCAACCAGCTTTACAATGAGGGGTCGCAAGCCATAGGGTTGCATTTGAAAAAAACATGTTGGGGTTGATTCCAGTTACCCCTGAAGGGTTATATCCTCCATATTGCTTGCCAAATATAGGTAAATACATTTAAACGTTGACGTGTCTTGCGAATTTTCAGAAAAATCATTCACCTCCCCAGTTAAAGTCTCCAATTTTCATATCAATACTGAACATATTGGTAAGTTATATTTTTTTATATCATAATACATCATATCATTTTATCCGATTTGAAAAATGATGTCAATTCTCAATTTCAGAGGATTTTCATTTTTCATGTTCTCTTTTTGGATGTTCAACAGATATAATTCAATGTTCGACGTGACAAATAGCCAGGAATGTAGTTGTTTTCTGTTGAATATTCAGAATGATATTATATGCATATCTTTATATGAAGGAGAATGCAAAATCTCTACTTCAGAAGATTTTGTTTTCAAATTCTTATCGTGTATGTTCAATAGATGTAATTCAATGTTCGTCGTGGCACATAGCCAGGAAAGTAGTTGTTTTCTGTTGAAAAAAACCGAGAAAAAATTGATATTTTCATCTCATAGAGAATGCGAATTCTCAATGTATGTCGTTATATACCGGGTGTCCCAGTATACCTGTTCCAATTGATTATCTCAGCCATTTCGAAAGATGAAAATCTGAAAATTACATAATTTACTACAATTCTAATAATTTGAAATTATTATTGAAGTCAAAATCAAGATTACAAAATTATCGTAGCCTACTGCAATTCGTTCAATTTGAAATTTCAATTGTCGTTTTCTCCATCAAATCAAATTTGAAATACGAAGTGCGATACATCGTTGGAACGGTAATTTTGAGTAGAAATCAAAAAATTGTAAAAAATATACAGGGTGCTATTTGAAATAAAAAAGTAAAGTCACTTCCGGTCAAACCGGATGAAAGATGAAAATTACAAAATTTACTACAATTCTGATAATTTGAAATTATTATTGAAGTCGAAATCAAGATTACAAAAATATCATAGCCTACTGCAATTCGTTCAATTTGAAATTTCAATTGTCGTTTTCTCCATCAAATCAATTCAAAATACATCGTTGGAACGGTAATTTTGAGTAGAAATCAAAAATTGTAAAAAATATACAGGGTGCTATTTGAAATAAAAAAGTAAAGTCCGGTTTGACCGGAAGTGACTTTCAATTGTTGTTGTTCTCAGTTAAAGCTTCCTTGAACGAATTGGAGATCATTAAATTTTCGAATTTTCATTTTTCCAAATGGCTGAGATGATTCATTGGAACAGGTATACTGGGACACCCGGTTTATATCCATTTTTTTATGTTCATAATTATATCTGACGATATGCCTTTTCAATAATTTCACCCAATCAGAGGGTTCAAACTTGAACGATGGAAACTTGTTATTTTCATAGACCTCAATCGCAGATTCGTGATTAGGTTTTTGCAATTCAGAATCTCTTTGCACAATATCAATTTATCATACACCAAGAACAAAATATATAGTGTATGTTTTTGGATGTATGACAAATTGATATTCATCATATAGGACGTGGGAAGAAATTCTGAATTGAGAAAACATGATCACAAATCTGCGAGATACTCATGATGATCTTCTCACAAGATCTCGGTCATTGCTGAGATTGCCAAGATTTAGACTGCATCACACTCAGTCATCTTATTTATTTAAATCCTACAAATACTTTAACTGTTTACCATTAGAGCTCAAAGAAAATAATATGTCTTTGAATACATTCAGAAGAACTTTGAGGGATGTTTTCACTGAAAATTGTTTTTATTCAGACCAAGACTTCTTCTCTCACTACTCGGAATAAAGATTTGGATAATATAGTTGTGATTGTAATTCATATTCTTCTTTTTTGTGTGATTATTTGTCTATATTGTAATTTACATTTTTAATTAATAATTTCTGTATAATATGTCTATATCATCCCCGCCTGACTAATTTGTGCTTGATGTTTTATAAACTTGTTGACGAATGTAAACACAAATGTGAAGAAACATGAATAAATATCTATCTATCTATCTACAGACCCCGCGATTCAAGAATATCGAGAAGTATCCCAACGAACAACGTTTAATTATTGTACAAACACGTTACAAATATGGTGAGAGTTTTGCGAAAACAGTTGGCCAATTACGCCACGTTTTCGGCCACGATAATGCGCCAAATGAATCGACAGTCTTGAATTTTTACAATTATCAAACGTTCTCCATATTCTTGAGTCGCGTGGTCTGTACGTGAAAACTGTCAAATAAAATCATCATAAAATTCGTATAAACAAAATGGCGGCAAATTTAAATCGTGCGCTCTTGTGCACTCTTCAGTATACTGAAGTATAAGTGGATATTGAAGGTCTTTGATACACGCGCGATTTTTCCTACACAGCCGGAGTGGAATGCTTGTTATTGCAACTTTTGTCAAAGTCTACTTGTCATACATCATTGAATAAGAAGTGCAGAGGCAGTCTTTGGTGACTGCCGGTCGATAGAAGTGAAAACTAAGTAACTTGTGAATTGTATCGTCGAGCTATTAGATTAATATTTTTCTATTCCTTTTCAGTTCGCTTGAATCTCCCAATTTTGACGAAGAAATCATAATCTGCGACCCCGAAAACCCCCACATACAAATTTTGAATAGAATCGGATCATAATTACAAAACTTGTCTGCCATATTGGATCCGCCATCTTAAATTTTCTAATTTTGACGAAAGAATCATAATCTGAGACCCCAAAAACCCCCATAGATACAAATTTTGTAAAGAATCGGACCATATTTACAGAACTTGTCCGCCATATTTAATCCGCTATCTTTAATTTCCTAATTTTGACGAAGAAATCATAATCTCTGACCCCGAAAACCCTCAGATACAAATGTTCAATAGAATTGGATCATAATTACAAAACTCGTCCACCATATTGAATTTTCTAATTTTGAGAAAGGAATCATAATCTCCGACCCCGAAAACCCCCCGTTACGAATTTTGACTGGAATCTGATCATAATTACAAAACTCGTCCGCCATATTGGATCCGCCATCATGAATATCCTAATTTTGACGAAGGAATCATAATCTCCGACTCCGAAACCAGATCAATTTTGAATGGAATCAGACCATAATTACAATATTCGTCATATTGGATCCGCCATCTTGAACTTCCTAATTTTCACGAATATTAATTTTCATCCTATTCCGGACTAAGAGAAATCCAAAAAATCTAAAATAAAAATTGTTCCAGCCGTTCTTATATGTGTGGGAGATACCCTTCAGATTTTTTGCTATTCAGTGACTTGACCAAAGCGTTCGGTAACGGGACGCGAAATTCAATGTATCTCTTTACCCAAAAAAGTGCTGAACGCGCCTAAAGAAATTTTCACTTCAAAAAGTTGACAATCGCTGACGTTACAGCTGAAATTTGAAAAAAAAAATAATGATCAGAGCCTACTCATAGTCTCTGATGAGTCATTTCATCCCCTTTTTGTTTTTCAAAATTGGATAGTTAAATAGGCATATAATATTACCTCATTCAGTGACTGGAATTTAACATATAATTCGATTCGTTTTTACGTACATTTTCATCGCCCAGAGACATCTCGATTTCTTCCGTTGACGTTTCCCCTTCCTCGCCGTCTGGTCTAGGCCGTTCAGGTAACTCGTCTACACCCCTATTCCCAGATTCCAATCCTATAAAATGATACATTATATCGACATTTCGTTCATTGTTAATGGACTTACTCTTATTATGTCAAGAAAACAAAATTATTTACATTCTGGGATATTATTTTTTTTTCCGTCGACCTCGTATTAACAACTAAGTTTAATGTATATGAAATCGTTCATTAATGACCCCTATTAATGAACGATTTGTCTATTAATGCACGATTGTTTTATAGGCAACCAAACATACACCGCTTGCTTTCATTGTTTATGCTATAACTAGCGGAATCTGCATTTAAATCGAGAATATGGATTTCATCGAAGATTTTCTGTTAACGGGTTCGCCTTTCCAAGTTTCTGACACGATTTTAATCCCAGTTTTCTAACACAAGGAATTTATTTCCTATGTCATTTCGACAAATGTCAAAAATCAAATATTTATATCATTAATTGATTACTGGTACTGGTGGGGGACGTTTGCACGTCAGCAACTAGTCATAAAAGACTTATAGCCACTTCTCACTGGCACTCTATTCAAAATACGAAGACTAATTAGTAATGATAATTCTCAGTCTCTCAGACATACTTTAGACACATTCACAGAGAACATATCTGCGTTGTAAAACTTGGGATATCCCACAAATCAATGGGATTTTATAATATTCAACATGCTCTTCGATAGATAAGATACATCTACCGCCACTCGGTTTGAAATGGAGCATTCTACACTCGTGAATGGAAAATATTTCGAAACCTTAAGATCATTTTTGAACAAGCAGTGCACAACACTTGATACAGTATCTTTTTCCAATATTCCAAACTCAACCTCATCAAAGAAACCTGATCAATTTGCAAATAAATCCTCGACTAGTTCAAATCAAGGTTTCAAAACTGGGAGTAGTTCGTTTGTTGTAAACTCAAGTCAAGGTACCAATTGTCAGTTATGCAAGAAGGATCATTTGATTTATAATTGCGTTATATTTTTAGCTAAATCTCCAGAAGAGAGATATACCATTGTAAAAAATGGTGTTCAAATTGTCTTGGAATCAAACACACTTCTCAAAACTGCACATCAAATATTGTATGCAGGCTTTGCTCAACCCCTAAGAGACATCACTCCCTATTAAATTTTCAATATTCTCCGAATGCCACCAGCACTGTTCCAATAAGTGGAATCAATACCAATCAAAACAAGTCTGCTCCGCATTCACTCGACAATGACTCGTCACAAGCATCGGCAAAGGTTCAGGCCTTAGCTGTCAATCTGCACTCAGAGAGCCCCAATACTGTGCTTCTCTCTACAGCTACTGTAGAGGTGCGCGATAGTCAAGGTTGCTATCAAACAGTCAGAATTCTGCTAGATAGTGCTAGCCAGAGCCACTTTATATCTAACAAGTGCTGTACAAGACTAGGCCTCAAACGAAAACCTTTATCCCTAGAAATAAAAGATGTTGGTCAAGTCACTTCTCACGCTTCCCATGGCGTTACTTGCTCATTGAAACCAAAAAATTACCCTGAACCGATTGTCACTCTGGACTTCGTCATTCTTCCCAAAATATGTTCAAACATGCCTTCAGTTACAATTTCTGAAGAAAAATTCTCTGAATTATTGAATCTCGATCTTGCTGATCCCGCATTTAACATTTCTCGGCCCATCGATATGCTTCTAGGAGCAGATATCTTCGCCACTGTTTTTAAAGGTAACTCTCGACACATATCCAACAATCACCCTGTAGCCTTCGACACTCTATTTGGTTGGATAACTATGGGTAAGCTCAATTTATCTTTAGAAACAAGTTCCTTAGTAGCCTCTATTCAAGTATCCTTAGAAGAATTTATCAAGAAATTCTGGGAGCTTGAGCAGGTCCCTGCCACTACGTCCATTTCCCCAGATGAACAGAAGGCCGAATCAATTTATCAGAACACTGTTTCTCGAAATTGTGATGGACGATTTATGGTAGCCTTGCCATTCCGGGATACAGAACCTCACTTCCCTGACTCTAGGGACATAGCACTCAGACGTTTTCTAGCTCTTGAACGGAGATTGGTGCAAAATCCCATCCTCTATGATCAATATCGAGATTTTATGAAAGATTATCTCTCGTCCAAGCATATGGAGCCTATCCAAGATATATCATCAAGTGACTGTAGCTATTATTTGCCCCATCATTGTGTGCTCAAGCCTGACAGCTCAACGACTAAGCTTAGGGTCGTATTCGACGGTTCCAGTAAATGTAGTAACAATCTATCTCTGAATGACACCTTGCTGATAGGTCCCAAAGTGCAACCTGACATCGTTAGCATTTTGCTGCGTTTCAGATTGCACGCTATTTGTTTCACAGCTGATGTTCGGCAAATGTATAGGCAAATTCTTGTCTCTCCCAATCACACTGACTATCAAAGAATCCTTTGGAGGTTCTCTAAAACAGATACAATTACAGACTATCGTCTCACTACCGTCACCTACGGTATTAACTCTTCGTGTTTCCTTGCCATAAGGACCATACGTCAGCTTGCCCACGAGTACCGCAACAATTGTACCCAGGTAGCAAATATTCTAGAAAACGATGTTTTTGTAGATGATGTAGTCTCAGGCTGCGATTCACTCGATGATGCTCTCAAACTGCAGTCTGACCTCAATCAGGTACTTGCCAAAGGAGGTTTCCTGCTCCGAAAGTGGGCAAGCAACAACCCCTCCATTATAATTAATTTATCACCCGATATGTTGCAAATGGATCCGACATCATTTGATAAGGACAGTGCATCTACTCTGAAGATTTTAGGTCTCCAGTGGCACCCAACGCTGGATGCATTTGGGTACCACGTTACTCCACTTGATAAACCATGTTCCATAACGAGTACTTCTCTCCGAGTTAGCTCGAGTATTCGACCCTCTGGGTTTTCTCACTCCTACAACACTTTTTCTCAAAATCCTCATTCAAAACTTATGGGCTTTGAATATTGATTGGGATAGCACGACTCCTGAAAATATATCTTATCTTTGGTCTAGATTCAAGGCTGAAATGAGTGCTTTCTCAACTATTCAAATACCTCGTCGTATAACCTCTTCTGTATCAGCAACTTGCGAAATACATGGTTTCAGTGACGCCTCTGAACGTGGATATGCAGCGGTTGTGTATCTCAGAAATTGCACAAATGCTGGAATTTCCATTCAGTTTATCTGTTCCAAGTCTCGCGTTGCCCCTCTCAAGAGAATATCTATTCCAAAGTTGGAGTTGTGTGGAGCCTTGCTCCTTGCTGATCTAATTTCTTATATTCAAGGAATCTTTTCAGGCAAACTGGAAATTAAATACATCTCTGCCTACACTGACTCTACGATTGTCCTTGATGGTTAAAGAGCTCTCCGCATAATTGGACAACCTTCGTCTCAAATAGGGTCACCCACATCCAAGATAAGGTACCTCCTTCCTCATGGTGTCACGTCAAATCTGAGGACAACCCAGATGATCCAGCCTCAAGAGGACTTCTACCTCATGAACTTGTCAGCAATAGCTTATGGTGGGCGGGACCAACTTGGCTATGCCTTCCAAATGAGGAATGGCCTCCAATGCTCTATAACTCTGATGCTTCGAAAACTTTGGAGGAACGTCGTACGGTAACATTAGCTACTGAAATTGATGAAAATCTAATTCTCTCTCTCCCAGATCGATTTTCATCACTACCCAAAATTCAACGTATACTCTCTTACATTTTGCGATTCACAGCAAATTCTCCATTTCCTACTTCCCTACGATCAGATCAGCTAACAAAATCTGATCTGGAAAATTCTCTTCTTGTACTCATCAAGCTGAGTCAAGAAAGTGAGTTTTCACATGAAATAAATTGTCTTAAGACCAATAAAGTACTTCCCAAATCCATGCGTAAGCTTAATCCCTTCCTGGATGATGCTGGAATCCTAAGAGTAGGAGGTCGTTTAGTCAACTCACCAAATCCCTATGAGCAAAGACACCCGGTCCTTCTACCTTCCAATACTCGACTCACTCATTCGGTTATAGAATTTACCCATACTACTTATCTGCACCCTGGTCTCCAGACAATGCAAAATTTACTTCACCAAAGGTATTGGATTCTTTCTCCGAAGAAGACTATTCGTGAGGTAATTTCCAAATGTTTGAAATGCTTTCGAGCAAACCCCAAGTCTCCGCAACTTCATAGGAGCTTCACGTCAACTAGCAGAACACATGAAAACTGCTGCCGAAAATGAAGGAATTTCCTTCCACATGAATCTTCCCCTTTCACCAAATTTTGGTGGATTGTGGGAATCAAATATTAAATCCTTGAAAACCCATTTAACACGTGTCATTGGAGATCAGCTTCTTACCTTCGAGGAGCTGAATACAACCTTGATTTAATTTGAAGCTGTGTTGAATTCAAGGCCGTTATGCTCTTCAAGCTCTGACCCGAACATATTTGGTGTTTTGACTCCGGGTCACTTTTTGACTTTAGAACCACTCAATGCAGTTCCAGAGCCTGACCTAGGTAACCTTAAGCTAGGACGATTGTCACGCTGGCAACTCGTTCAACGTTTACACCAAGATTTTTGGAAAAAATGGCACGCCGAATATCTTCATACGCTAATGCAAAGAAGTAATTGGACAGATCCATCAACTCCAATAAAGCTTGGCACGATTGTCTCATTAAAAGATGAACTTTCTTCTCCGTTGAAATGGCCTCGCGGTAGGGTTACGCATTTGCACACTGGAATCGATGGAATCACTCAAATCGTTACTGTCAAAACTGTTAATGGGGAATACAAAAGATCAGTTTCAAAAGTCTGTCCTCTCCCATGTAATTAATTTATTTTTCTCTATTTTTTCTTTTTTTCCCATTTGAATAAAATCTTATTTTTTTTTGCTATCTGGTTGTCTCAATATCTGGATAATTATCTTGCTGATTTGGATTTGGATCGAAATTTTAAAATATTCTATTTTGGTGGGCGGTATGGTTCGTCCGTTTAACTAATTTTAATTTTATTTAATAATCAACTATCAATGTGTAAGTGAAAC